GCGTATTTGAATGCAACGTTGTGTCAAAATTTCAAAGCAATCGGTGAAGAACTTTTGGAGATTTAAGATTTTGAACAAACGAACATTTACATTTTTATTTATATAGATTACTGTTCAATATTTGTTGCTCCTGCAAATGAAACAATTGTGGATTATTATTTTTTTTTAGGGACAAATGAGAATAATGTAGGAATGGGAGGGAGTCCTTATGCACATCCAGGACCACCTAACCAGCCAAATGTATGGCCTGACAGCATAGTCTCTATGGAACAAGCACCTCAAGGCTTGCAAGACAGGTAATAATGACTAGTTAGCTGATTATTTTATTGTTTGGTCACAGTCAAATAAGAAAAATATTTTGGTCAAACCCAAAAACATCAAATATTGCTTTTATGTTCTGTTAATTTCTGACTTTGACTATAGGGGTTGGAATTTGAACCAGCCTATTAAAAGCTGTCTGTGAAGTTTAATTAATATTATTTTGTCATTGACTGGATTGTATTCTCTTTACTATAACCCTACCGAGTACAAAAGTAGTACCATTCATTCTTTGTTTTTTGTGGTCCGGGTAGAAAACAGTATGATTTTCTGATGGAAAGTATCCAGTTCCAGTTCATTTCAATTTGCTAATACCTGAGATGCCGGTGTTTAATTGACTGATGCCTGATTGGGTAGTTCATTTCATCCTTCACCTGGTTGAGCTTTCTCATATTCATGCATTTTTAACTTTCCATGTTCCAACTGTAATTCTGTCTTTGCCACTTTGGCTTTTCTTTCCTGTATGATAAAATCAGCAACTACTGTAGATATCTGGAAAGCTTTTATCTAGCCTCATCATACACATAATTATAACTTTGAAAGATTCTTAGCTTTTCTTTTCTTTTAAATAATATTTTATTAATTTTCCAATTTTACATCTAAGTATTTAAAAAGCAACGTGGTGGCTGGGTTAATCAATAGTTCAATAACATACAAAAATCTTTAGTACAAATCTCAAGTTACAACATCAAATATTTCCTTTCTTTTTCCTTTAATATCTACTATCTCATACTTAAGCTAATACAGTTCTTATTATATCAATTAAGTAAAAACATCATTATTGCATTTATCAATAACTTTTTAGCTTATACATATCTTAATTACTTTTACATTCAATATTTATAGACAATCAATGTCCTGTTACTGATTTCCCAATTTTTAGTTTCCCATCAATATTCAAATTTAACATTTGATATTTATAATTTCCAGGCTTTAGGTAACCAAAGTTTCCCTTATCTCAATTTATAACAGAATCTAATATTCAAAATACACATCTTATCTATTTGAATATAGTCTTGTTCTATTTTCTAAAAGTTATCTATTTCCCACATTAAATCATCTAACTAATAGTACAATATCCCCTTTAATAAATCAAAACCATTATATGGGTTGGTTTAGAGAGGCGTTTCTTTTTCAGATTCAGGATGACAAATTGTGTCTTTACTGTCTTCATCTTAGATTTTCCCCAAGGACTCTTCAGAATTAATCTTAGCAGAGAAGTTCTTACTTTCAATATATAAGATCCTGCTCATTTTCAACATTTGTCTTTCCTAGGCAGTTAGTTAGAAATTCCTTGGATGACCTATTATATACTACTCCAAACGTAGATGGGCAAAGTGATGAAAGAGCTCTACTAGATCAACTGCATACATTGTTGAGCAATACTGATGTTACCAGCCTTGAAGAAATTGATAGAGCCTTAGGAATTCCAGATCTTGTAAACCAAGTAAGTAAATGATCCGCTTAAACTCTTATTTTTGGCTTAGCCGAATATACTGTAAACTATAAGGATGCTACTGTTCTTTTTCTGCACTATTGCAGATATTTCTCTTCTATGAGAATTGTTTTTAGATTGTATACACCTGTTACATCTCACCTTCTTCTCAAACTGAGCATAGTTTGCTCAGTGGCAATTTTTTCCGTTCTAAGCATACATTAAAAGGAAAAGGTTAATTAAGCTATTGATAACGAATGATACAAAATACTGCACAAGATACTGTAGTGCCACAACTAAAACCTGCAAAATCATAGTGAGAAAAACGCTCCATTTAATAATTTAAAACAAATTCTTTCATCTAAAATTGTTTTGTTCTTAGTACTTGCTCCATTATTGTACATAATTGTAATTAGGTATGTACATACTTTTTCTATATTAGCAAATGTAATGCTATACCATTTTACTAATCTAAATGAATGATGCCAGATTGCCAGGTGGATGACAGATACTGTTAACATAATTTTGAATGAAAGGAGTCAGTAGAGCTAAGGAATGAGGTTTCTAGATTATGTTAGAAGATCACCTAATAAATTTCATAGAAGTGCCAGAAAAGATGTCACGTTATGCCCTTCCCCCAATAGCCATTATCATCTCCAGGTACAGTGCTTTTTTTGTTAAAAAAAAAAAAGGTGCCGGAACTCACACACGTCATACAACCCGCCTTGCCTACCCTACAAGGTTCCATCCAAAAAAGGTGCCGGAACTCCGTTCTGGGCGTTCTATGAGAAAAAAAGCCCTGTCCAGGTATATTCATTCTCTCTCTCTGTCTTTCTCTCAAATGCAGAATAAAATTATTCTATTGTGTCTATTAATATACATAATATATTATTGCAGAGAGTGAATTAAGTTCCCTATTCTTTTGAAGGGACAAGCTTTGGAATCCAAACATGAAGCATTTCATGGCCAAGATTCTACAGTCATGATTGACCAGAAGCCTCCAATATATGGCCAACCCTACCATGGGCCAGGAGCAGGAATGCCCGGTGGTTTTAGTGGCAGCATTCAGGGCCAACAGGCAGCCTTTAACTCGATGATGTCTCAGATGAACCAGCAGAACAATTTTCAAATGCAAACCATGCATCCCAGAGCAAATGTTATGAGACCGCGAAGCAATACACCAAAGCAGCTCCGTATGCAACTCCAGCAGAGGCTTCAAGGACAGCAGGTAATATGTTCTGAAAAAGTAGGATTGTGCCAAAAAGTAACATTTGTGTTTTTTCCCTCCTACTGGAATGTTTAATACCCACAGTAATAATTCAGTCTTCATTGCTGCACTAAACTGCATGGTTGTTTGTCTGGTGTATTCCTTGCGTATCTGGCTGCTGGAGAGGATGTTGATTGCTGGAAAAGATTGCCAAAATCAACAGTAAAAAAGCTAAGAAAGAAACAAAAAGACCAAATCACATCCTCTCTAGCAGCCAATTCCCAGATAAGCAGGAATTAACACCAGACAGACAATCTAGCAGTAAGCAATACCCTAATCAAGGACCTACTAAGGAGAAAACCACACCCCCATCAAATACGGACAGGGCAAGCTACTGTATATAAGCAGAGAGCAAACCCCCATTCACTAGCAGAGGGTTTGGCAACCCGTCGTAAGTGCAAATGAGGTTGCAAAGAGTCCAGATCCACAATCATGAGTCCATGGAGGCCCCACAATGGCAACTTTAAGCACCGGTGATAAATTGTTTCATTCAGCACCATTGTAATTTTGGTTGCCGAACAAAAACAATAATTCTAGAACTGCATACGTGATACATTTTTATCCAGTTATTTTACAATGTATCGCTTCCTTTTTCTTAAGTTTTTGAATCAGACTCGTCAAACGCTTGATATAAAAATGGAAAATACCAATCCTGGTGGTGCATCGGTGATGAGACCTGTTCTACCTCCCCAGATGGGATCACAAGTGAGTCATTAAGGATATTGTCTTGGTCAACATGTGTTAGAATCAGACTGTACAAGGGCCTCCCATTTCCTGCTTTATTTTGCATTTTTGTTCCTCTCCATCTAATCACATTCTCATATTTTGTATTTGGTCATTGATACCTTTACTCTATCAGCTGCTGAAGCTTTAAATGAAAAGTTAAATGTTCTTCAGATTGACTCTGAATTCTAGTGATTACATAGGCATATTTAGTTTTTAGTTTTTAGTTTATAACAACACAGAAGTGGGACACTACTCCAAGATGGTTGGACTTGTCAGTCAAGCCTCCAGCCCAGATGATCATCTGTTATTTCAGATTATTCTGTCCAGAGTTTGGACTAACCTAATACTGCTCTCTTTTGCATGGATAGTGTGATTTTGGCTGCATAAATAGAGCAGGCAGACAGTGAATTTGGAATTATCATATACCAGATCATAATACATGTTTTTACTGTAGAATTGATGTACATCTTCCATCAGAGTTTAAATTTATTAAATAAGTATTATGACAGTGATGGTGAACCTTTCAGAGACTGAGTGCCCAAACTGCAACCCAAAACCCACTTATTTATCGCCGGGTGCCAGGTGGGTGTGGCCCAGTGGGTGGGTGTGGCTATGGTGCTCATTGCAGACTGGGTGGATGTGGCCAAGGTGGGCATGATCACCTCAATGTTGCTTGTGGGGAGGGACACCAGTGGGGGCCAAGCAGGGTTGGGGAAATCCAGGGGGTCTCTGGCAGGTGGGGCAGTGGGCAGGAGGCTCGTCCTGCGGGGTGAGGCAAGGCAAGGCGAGGCAGGGCAGGGGAGCCATTGTCGCAGGGCAAGGTAAGGCAGGGGCCGGGGCGGCTGCTGCCTGACACCATCGGCCCCTGCCCACAGAGGCCAGCGAGCGCATGGATACTGGGATGCATCCGGCCATGTGGGACCTCGGTGAGTTAGTGGGCGGCTGGTTGAAGAGGGACGGTTGCCATCTCCAGGGCATGGTGCGCGTGCCCACAGAGAGGGCTCTGAGTGCCGCCTCTGGCACGCGTGCCATAGGTTCGCCACCACTGTATTATGACAACACGTTTAATATTTTTATGGTGAATGGCTTATTCCTTATCCTCTTGTTTTGGTGTTAACAGCAAGGCTTCCTTAATGCTCAGATGGTGGCACAACGTAACAGGGAGTTAATAAGTCATCATATCAGACAGCAAAGAATGGCCATGATGATGCAGCAGCAACAGCAACAACCTCCAGCCTTCAGTCCTCCCCCAAATGTAGCTGCCTCAGGAAACATCGATGGTGCTGTTACAGGCTCTCTGATGGCTCCTGTCCCACCCCAACAGTTTCCGTATTCTCCAAATTATGGTACTAATTTCACTGATTCAGCTTTCTTCCTCTCTCTTCTGGACCTAAATGTTGGCCTAAATGAAGTACCTCTGTTCTTAAGGACAAAAGCTGAATATAAATAAATATAAGCAGGAAGGAGATTGGTAATTTTCAAATGATATAAAATAGAATTGTCAGAGAGAGGCTTACGATTAGATGGCATTTATCTTTACATTTAATTCACTTTGCAATTATGTTGATTGTAGGGCTTTGATTTCGGTTACTGCTCATTTATTTCTTAATTGCTCAAAATGTTTCTCTTCTGTCAGTGAAATGGTTCAAGAGCATACAAGTATCTTAAATTTGTTGCTTTGGTTTCCTACATTCAAATTATTTCTCCTTCATTCCAACAATTTAAATTTTTCAGAATGAATTCAAATTAGCCAGTCTGATTACATTGATTGATTATGTACCATCAAGTCATTTTTGACTTCTGGCAACCACATAGATATACTAGGTGAATATATGTTCTACATCCATGTTGGCAACCTACGAAATTGAAGAAAGTACATAAGTTCAGTTAGTATCTGAATCCATTAAGAGAAGAGGGAGTCTTGACCTTTTAACACTGATACAGAACTAAAGATGCAGTTCCCTTGAGTACTGTGGTTCTTCAAATGATGCTTCAAATGATGCTTTCTTCTACTATACCACTAGGTTATTTAGTAAGTATTTGACTAAATCAGATGAAGAGAAATTCTGCATCTTGAAAACCATTTTCTATAACTTCTGATAAAAGCAAAAGGCAAAACATTCAAATGTTGTTGCAAGTCTTTTACTTATTAAAGGAATAATATACATTGTGGATTAGATACAGCCCTGACTTAGCAACAGCACATACATACATACATACATACATACATACATACATACATACATACATACATACATACATAACCAGTAGGTGAACAGTGTCTGTTGTGTCAGTAGCTAGTTTTATAAGATCAAGGATCTGTTAAAAATGAGCGAAATTCAAGACAAATATAGGAAATCCTTTCTAGGGTCCATGTTGCGAACTATATGCTGAACTGATTATTACCAGGGTTCAGTGTTGATTGAACTACATAAAGACATCATAATGCATTCCTTTCTTAAACAAAAGTATATTGAATTAGAAATAACGACCAAACTGTTACCTTATGTCCTTTTCAAGGAATGAGCCAGCAACCTGATCCTGCCTTTAGCAGGGTATCAAGTCCTCCCAATGCCATGATGGCTCAAAGAGTTGGACCGTCACAAAATTCAATATTGCCACATCCCCAGGCTTCACCAATGTACCCAACGCCAGAGATGAAGGGATGGCCTTCAGGAAACATTGCCAGGAGCAGGTGAGAGAAAAATCTTGGCATTTTGACAGCACAAATGCAGGTTTTCAATAACAGGGAAAATAACAGGAAGAAGCCCTGTTTTTTTGCCTTTTTTTCTACTTTTGCCTCAGATTTTAGCTTAACTGTAGCTTGATGTATCAACTGTCAGCAGAACCTTAAAACTGCAAATAGCTAAAAAAATGGAAACGTTCTGAGAAACGAGCTCCAATTGCTCATTCCTTCTAGTGAGGTTCCACTCATTTCCTTGGATATAATGCTCTCTGCGTGGTTGAGAGACTATATAGACCAAGGGTAGTCAACCTTGGCTCTTTTATGACTCGTGGACTTCAACTCCCAGAATTCCTGAGCCAGCTTAGCTGGCTCAGGAATTCTGGGAGTTGAAGTCCACGAGTCATAAAAGAGCCAAGGCTGACTGCCCCTGATATAGACCATGTGGTCTAATTAATGTAACTTTTTATCTAGATCTTAACCTGAACATGTTACTCTGCTAGATATAAATTAGGTTATTCCCACTTATATTTAAATAGGTAGAGTGTTGTGTTCAAATAAAAGTTAGAATATTTGATTTTAAAGATGTAGACCTTTTTATATTGCAGACTTTAGATATCTTAAGAAATATAAGAAAAATAGAAATCAAAATTAACCAGAGTCCCTTGCTATCCATCATCTTATATTTGCTCACCTTGAATCACCTCTGCTATTTTTAAAGCCACTTCAATATTGATGGTATTGCTACATCTCCTATTATGTCTTGTGAAATTGCAATTATATTCAGTAATTTATCTTTTTTTTTTTTTGTATTCTTGTGTCCCGTAGTTCTTTTCCACAGCAGCAGTTCAGCCACCCAGGGAATCCTGCAAGTTACAATATGATACACATGAACAGTAGTGGAGGCCACATGGGCCAAATGAATATTAATACTATGCCTATGTCAGGAATGGCCATGGGTCCTGATCAGGTAAGCGGCATTCAGTTTCTACAGATCACCAGCCATGATCAACTCCTTTAAGTACTTTAAGGTAGAAATCTATGGAGATTCTCAGTCATCCAGCTTATGGTTGTCCCAAAGGTGCTTTTTCCAAAAGGCAACTGGACTTTCTTGGTTTTTCTCCTTTAAGAATGTTTTGCTTATTATCCAAGAAGCTTCTTCAGTTCAGAACTAAAAAAGTACCTTTGGACTAAAATTCATTCTGCAGTGTTCCAAGCACTAATTGCCAGTTAATTTATGTTTATATGCTTAATCTCTAGAATTGCAATATTACTTTCATTATATTCTAGTGTTTGTTTCTCTTATATTTTCCTATTGTTCTTTTCTGCAGAAATATTGCTGACATATCCTGCCAGGATCCCCTAACAGGCTGATGCCATAGATGTTGGTGAACTGTATTACAGAAAAGTGCACAAAGTATCATGTCAAACATGTAGCCTTATGGAAAAAAAACCACTCCCTTTCCATGAAGATATCCTAAGTGACTTTATAAGTTATGAAGTTTGGATGTGATGGATAGAATCAAAATGTCACTGTATAATGTTACAAAAGGGTCAAATATTACTTTGGCATTCTACCTATAGGAACATAGCAACAACATTTGAGTAAGTGTAATGGGCAGATAGTTTGTATACTAATTCTATTCAAAGCCCATAACTACAGGCAGACCAAAGTGCCTGGAGAAATCCTGGTAATAATCTTGAGTTACATAGTAAGAGCTTCTGATAAAATGTAGCTCTTGGCCTTGATGTAACCATGAAACAAAGCAGTCAACTGTCATGCTGCTGTTAAAGTTGCTTCCATATGTTGGAATTTGGATCTGCATATTACAACTCATACGCGTCATAGAATCCAAATTATGCTTTTGATGCCAAAAGGTTTCAGGGAGATACGTATAATTATGACAGAGATCTCCACCCTGATGTGCAGGTTTGTGCACTTTACAAAATGATATATGGAAATGCAATATGGTTAAGAATGATTGGATGGAACCTCTCCCTTTTTAAGATCATTCTAAATTGCAGTTACATACTGTGTTTCTAATCATGGTAATTGAAGCAATAATCACAGTTCCTGAACTTCATATAAAACTCAAAAAGACATTGGAGTTTGAAACAAAACTGTTTGTGAATATGTTTTGTAAATATCTTTAAGATGTTGTACGATAAATATATGACTTTTGTAGGTCACTAACTCATTTTTGCAGAGTTTGTGAAGCTATTTAACAAAAGATAATTTCTGTAAACTCAATTTAGTTAAGAGTCGTCCAAATAGGATTTTTTTAATTATTATTTAAATGGTTTTGGAGCTGGGTAACTGTAGCCCTTGTTGTCTCTTGGTTTCTGACAATTTATTTAGAAAATTATGTACTGGCTTTTTAAGATATTTTGGGCATATTTTAGTGGTCTTAAATTTTTCTCTATACTTTAAGTGTGCACTTTGTTACTTTTTTTAATAGAGAGCAATTTGATGACAAAAAGGCTCATTTTAGCTGTTAACAGTTTGTTGAATTTTTAATATAATCTGCTTTTTCAACAAAAGAGCCTCTGCTCCAGGCCACTTGGCTAACTTTTAAAGAAATTCAGTGTTACTCAGAACATGTTTTTGTGTGTGTTAAATGTCTTCTGTCATCTGGAGGCCAAATCTCTTGTGTAACTTACCCAGAATCTTTTGTGAATGGCAATTAATCAATTATATTACACCTTCTTGCAATATGGGCAACAAATAAATTTATTTTTATGCATTACCCTTCATATCATTATCTACAACTTTAAGGCTAGAAATGCCATAGTTTTTCTTTCTCTTTATGGCAAATAAATGAAAGTCTGTGTATTGCCTTTTTTTCCAGGAAAATAACTGTAATGATTCAGAATGAACTATTTCAAAAGGTAGATTAAAATGTCTGAAGCAGTGTAGTGTGTAGTTTCATTATTCCTATTACATTTTCAAATTAGTTCTTCTTGAATATGTAAACTGGTAATTTTGATTACAGTATTTGATTTGTATTGGAAATTTATTTTAACTTTTGCAGAAGCTTTGCAAAAGATAGAATTTCTTTTGCTCCCTCTACTCCAAGGCTGCTGTATTCTGAGCACACACTGAACTGTGGCCTTTTTATATAGTTCACCCAGTGATTGTATTACATTTTCTTAAAGTTATCTTTTAAATATTTGAGTTTTGACCCAGAGTTATGTGTATTCTGATGTGCATATTTTCCCTGTAAATGACCAGAAGCTTCCTTATCCTTTTACTTTTTCTGAAATATCAGTTAATCTGTAAGTTAATGAATTATATTTAATGTTTAAATTGTAGTAGCTTTGAGTAATTATTTAAAGCATAATTCATATGAAACTCCACATCTCATCACATATTAAAACCTTAATAGTAAATAATTGAGGGAATATGTTGCACAGATTCATATCACAACTTCTGGGCATTCAAGGTGCCTCTGAATTGAGGTTTGTTGTGTTGTAGACAAGTCATTTACTGTGTTTATTACAGTAAAAAAAGCTTTTTAGAAGCCATTTTAAGTGCAAAGTGCAACCTCATGGTGAAAAGCTAAAAAGCAGATACTGTATGTGCAAAACATTATGAATCTCAAACTAGTTTCAAACTTGAAAGGGGCTGTTCTTACATCCCGTGAAGCATTCTGCAATATGAGAACTCTTCCTATGAAGTTGGAACAGTTGGTAAAATTAAAAGTTTTATAGGTCTTGAGGATTTTGGTAACAGCTATGAGCTCAGTTGCTTTATAAAGTTTGGTCTGTCATCTGACACAGTTTCTATTTCCTTCTTTTTAAACTCTGGTTTCATTATTCCTATTATATTTTCAAATTAGTTCTTCCTGAATATGAATGAATATTCCTGAGTATTTGTAAAATCTGATATTTGCTGTCCACTGATTCTTTTCCCTGTTGATACTTCTTTACTGATTCCAACAATTTAAAAATAAATTTTAAGTACAAAAACAATCATACATTTGCAAAAACTGCATTTTGAATCGCTACTAAGAAGAAAAATCTTAAGTACTGTTAATTCAAAATATCAACTTTCCACCACAATTGGGACTGGAATTTTGGTGACAAGTCACAGTGGTTATAAATCAAGACACCCAAGTGATTGGACCTAATTTTAGATAGTAGTTAAGCGAATCACAAGATTATAAATATGAATCATGCAGTTGTAAAGTGAATCACACAACCATAAAAACAGATCAGAAATTGGCAAAAAAGTTGCACACTGTGGTCACATGATCATGGGATATTGCAGCCAGTCATAAAAGTAAGCTAGTTGCTAAGCGCCTGGAATGTAGTCATGTGGTCATCCCTAGCACTTATGCTTGCTTGGATAATGAAACATCTGCAAGAAAATGATCAGGCTCAGAGAGCACCAAGGACACCCTCATTTCAACCCTGAGCTACAAATATTCTCCTTTAAAAAGCAGTATATTTAGTAGCTGTAGTGCAGATTGTTCAGCATTTGGATGGTTTATTATGGCAAAAAAAATAGAATGTATTGGTGCCTTTTAAAATTATCTCTGTAGTAAGCCCATTCTCATCCCACCCAATTTATTTGCTGGGGTGCATACATTTTTTTTCTTGGTTTGTGCTTGGTTAACCAATTTAGCTACTTTCTATCTGGCCTTTTTTCTTTATGCTTTTACTTTAGTAAAACCTTTTTCAGATGAAACCACTTGAATGTTGCACAAATTAGCATAGACAATTTAGTAGCAGACTGTCATGTGGCAGCAATGTTGAAATCCTTCAAATGAAAGCAATATTTCTTGTCTCAGGAGAAAGGCCTACAGCAGGGGTGTCAAACTCACAACGTCAAATGTGACGTATCACAACTTTGCTTCTATAGATGGCAATAGCTGGGCGCAGTTTCGCCATGACGCATCTGGCACATGGGCTATCAGTTTGACACCCCTGGCCTATAGTATTTAAAATTAATTCTGGAATTAGTTTACACTTAACATGACTTGTACAAGTGATCTTTACATCACACAAGGCCTCCGGTGGGCACTGGCATTTTAAACAATGGGGGCCTGGGATGTGTCTTGTTTATATGGTGTTAATTTGTTTTGTTTGAATGTGGATAATAATGTAAATAAAGGTTTCTATTTGAAACTGAACTTTGGTGGCATGATTAAATCTTAAATTGTAAGCACTATATACTTTCACTTACATTTTTACTCCTCAATTAGATTCTATCCTAATACAATTGACTAATATAAGTTAAACTTCCAAAATCAGGTGACATATAGAGTTGGATACAATGCATAAAGGAAACATTTTTCATTCAGAAAAAGCCTGAATATAATTGGTGGATAGTGTTTAGTTTCATAATTGCTTGTTACACATTTGATACTAGGTAAATTTCAACCTAATGGTTCTATAGAATGTCTGCACTTATAATTATTCCATAATGTGATAAATATAAAAGAGCCAGCACAGACCAAATTCTATGGTTGCCACTTAAAGCTAACATTGGCTGTATGAAGCCCTTACTCATATTCAAATGGAAGCTCCTTTTCTCTATGCCAGGGGTAGGCAACCTTGGCTCTTTTATGACTCGTGGACTTCAACTCCCAAAATTCCTGAGCCAGGCTCAGGAATTCTGGGAGTTGAAGTCCACGAGTCATAAAAGAGCCAAGGTTGCCTACCCCTGCTCTATGCAGTTGTTTGAAAAACCAGAGTCAACATGATTTAAACTTAGATATATGCATGATTATAGGCCACATGACAAACTTCAGCGTAAATGGTGATATTTTTGGCATCTCCCAGTCACTGCAATATCACTCGTCTTGAAATAGGTGATGTCTCTCTTTAGGAAGTCATCACTTGATCTAACCATCGTAGATTACTATAGTCCTGCCACCAAATTCTCTTTTTTTAGGAAAGAAAGTAGAGTAGGATAGGCAACTAAAAGGGTTTCTGGATGACAATTATCTGTATCCCTTTTATTCTGGGTTCAGATTTGAGATTGAGATGGAAGCTTTATTTCTGAAATTTGGAGGTTGGGTCACTTACAAGGGCAAAATGTGCTATAAAGATTTTGCTCCTTAAACGGATAGTTCCAATTGCTGGTGGGAGAGAAAAGTCCTTCACTGTTTCTATTTTGGGTTTTTAAAAGCTCAGTCTTTTAATTTCCTCAATGTGCCATATGTGAAAGCTCTGATATTACAAATTAGTATCTCTGAGAAAAATAATATGTCAGCTTTGGGTGAGACACTGGTACTATGCTAATAGGGCCCAACTTTGTATTTCCACTCATGACTTTTCAGGAGTTGTAGAAATTTTGACTTTTGAGGAACTGACTGGCACGGTATAGGCTCAAAATGAATCCCACTAAGAGGAGTTCCTGTTTCTGCAGAGGCCTTCTGGTACCAGCAAAGCTCCATGCTTAGCTATGGATAGGGTAGCTCTCCCAGGAAGGAGAGTGTGTATGGGGGTCCTGGAATCACAGTACCATCTCACCTCACTAAAGCAACAGATGCCAGTTGTGGCAGGAGAGCCTTCTCCATCTTCCATTCATTGGCCAGTTGTACTCTTACCTGGATCAGGTTGTGCTAACTATAATTACTTCTGCCCTTGTTATCTCCTAGTTCTGTTGTTACAATTCACAACATGAATCTACTCCGCAAGACAACTTGGGAGCTGCAGCAGAATGCCGTCACCTGCTTTGCTCACTGATAAAAGACGATATAGAAGAGTGGTATAAATATTACCAGTGCTGGCTGACTTCTAGGTCTTATTTACTAGTTACCTATAAAGCTCTTTATGGATGAGAGCCATGCTAACTTCACGACTGTGGTATCTGCTCCAGATGTATACGCCATTATAATGAGGCTAAGAGTTCTTCCCCTTACTAGGAAAAATGAGGCTAAGAGTTCTTCCCCTTACTGGGAAATCAGAGCTAGCAGAGTGACCTCTTTTCTCTGCAGCAGCTTGCTACTGAATGGCACCTCATTAAAAAGTGCTTCCTAGAAGCTTTGGAGAAGTCTGTTTTGTAAGGGTTGGGCTTGCTTCATTATGGTTTATTCTGGGGCTGTATGTATTTTTTCATAGTTGTAAACCATCTAGAATTGTGTCGAGAGAGGTGTGTGTGTGGTACAAAAACAGGTAGTCCTTGCTTAACCTTTCTTAAGTGGGGCTAGGAACTCTGCTAAGCAAAGCGGTTGATAAGTGAGAATGCATGCGATGCATAACACATCCGAGGCTTCCAGTCTGCATGATTGCATTGCTTTCAATGTGCAGCTCACTTTCTTGCAATCCCTTTATTGCCAGTCAATCTCTCTGCAAGGGGGGAAAAAGAAAAAAAAACCCTCACAGGTCAGCCACAAAACAATGTGAATTGACTGTAATGGTGACCATGACTGAGGGATGCTGCCTCAGAAGGTTGTATCGGTCATAAATAGGCCACATTTTTTCAGTACCACTGTAACTTCAATGAATGGCTATATAAACAAAATAAAAAAACAATTTTTCAACGGCAGAAGATTAAATGTGTAGTAGAAAAACAACGAAGGAAATTGAAGTTCTGTTTTTGATGTGTTCAAGTAATGGAATAAGAGAAATTTATATGAGACTGAATTTGGAAACACTTCAGTTTTTAAAAAGTCAGGTCTTATTGGGAAAGGTTCTCTCCCATCCTCTAACTTATGTTTGTAAATTTTCTGAAATGTATTTCTTCTAATATACAGGTTATACAAATTCATCTTTTGGTAACAAACTAGAATTAAGTTGCTTGTATATTGATAATAGAATTACCTTTTTTAAAACGCTCCCAAGTATAAAAGTAAACAAGTGCTTTTTTATAGTAATAATTTTGGTTTTTTTTAACATACAATATAACCACAAAGACTTAATACAAATCCAACTTTGTTAAAATTCAAGACATACATCAACTGCTTTTAATTTTGCAGTGTTTTTTTTTTTAAAAAAATGATGAATTCTAAAGTTTCATTATGCAGTGAAGTGACATTTTCAGAAATGATATTGGGGCATGCCAATATTTCAGGAACAAAAGTCTTCTGGATTGGATTTCTTTTGAAATGGAACACTGAGTATTTACAATACAATGCTGGAAAGGTGGTTTCTCTGAGTGAAGGTTTATTTTCTGTTTCTTCTGTCAAACTCAAGGAAGATGTGAAAACTGTGAACTAAACTGCATTTTGTGGTAGACAAAGAAGTGACAATATTACAGTGCTGAATTGGTGCTTCTTTTCAGTAATATCCTTTGCAGATCCTAGAATCCCTTAGCAGTTTTTTTTTTAATCAGTGCTTCAAAGTTTAATTTGTCCAAGCCAGAAAGAAAAAAAATGGTGTTACTATCTTCATTTGCCTTTCCAATGCCTTAATTTAAAGAAAATATAAAATTGTCTTCTGCTGAAATGTGATCTTTTGTGCTTTTGCCTTTCAGGATTCTAAGGCTTGCGATGTTTCTCTGCTGTCCTCTTTTGGAATAGTATCTCAGGTGATTGACCGAAATAAAATAGCTTGTGAAGCAAGTGAGGTATAATCCAAAGCAAATGCGAATAAACTAGTAGGATACAGGATCTTGACAACAGTAGTCTCCAGAAGATAACTGCATCATTTTGGACTGCATAAAAATGCAAATATCCTATTTACCTTAGCATCAAAGTTCATCCAGTCCTCCAGGCTAAGATTATAATTCTGTCTGAAATCATACATACTTTATTAAGTCTGTACAAGAATTCAAGTTCCGGCCAGGTTATATCCTCATTGAGGTCTAGCAGTTCTGGGAAATTACCCCTCCCAGCCTTCCCAAAGTTGCCCTCTGTGAAATAGAAATAAAAGACATATCATTAGTTCATTGTCACCATAACCAGTTGGACTATGAAGGAGAAGTCTAATTTTACTAATTTAACACAAGGAAAAGAATGTGAACCACGGGCTACATATGGAACCTTCTATAATAGTGGAGATCATCATCTCCCTACTTAGCAACTGAATTTTTAGAAGGAATTTGACATCTATATTAAGAACTGTGGTGGCACAGTAATTAAAATGCAGTATTGTAGGCTAACTCTGCCCACAATCAGGAGTTTGATCCTGAGCGACTAAAGGCTGACTCAGCCTTCTAGCCTTCAGAGGTCAGTAAAATGAGGACCTAGATTGTTGGGGGAAAATATGATGCCATTTGT